GTTTCGATGCAACAGGTGTAACAAATTGGGATTCATGTGACTCGACATATCTTTTTCAAAACTTTTATATTATCTTCGACACGAATGAGTACTCGTAAAAAAAAAAAAAAAGAAAAAAGAGACAGAGAGAGAGAGAGAGAGAGAGAGAGAGAGAGAGAGAGAGAGATAGAGATAGAGAGACAGAGTAACGAAATTTATAGAATGACTCGTTACTTTTTGTATTTCTTTCAGGGCGTAACGAAAAAAAAAAAAAAAAATAGAAGAAGAATAGATAAGGAAGAAAATGGAAGAAGAAAAAAAAAAAGAAACAAAGAAACGAAACGAAACGAAACGAAAAAAATGAATTGAAGGAGAGAGAAAACAATTTTTCCAACAAAAAAAAGAGAGAGAGAGAGAGAGAGAGAGAGAGAGAGAGAGAGAGAGAGAATGAAAATAATAATACCGTGATAATTATTACGTCATATCGTGATTGAAGGTAAAAAACGATCGAAATGATTTAAACGGATATGATAGATTGACAGACGATTCAGTCAGACAGACAGACAGACAGATAGACAGACGAACGGACGGACGGACGGACGGACGGACGGACGGACGGACGAACAAACGGGCGTACTATTCAATCTGTACGAGTTTTGATTCCGTTAAGAGAAACGCAACGCGACTGGACAACCTCTTCGACGTTAGGCAGGTTTATATATACTGAGAGATAGTGAGGTGTAAGGCAACGCACATGAATGACTACCGGCCCCGACAGACAAATGCGGCGCGGAGCACCCAAGCGCTCGCTACCAAGCGAACCTTCTTCTTCCTTGACGGAACGGTGCAAGCAAACAAGAAGTGGGGGGATGAGGGGGGCGGCGGGGACCGGCCGGGGTACGAGGGGGGGGCGAGGTAGTGATCGAGAACCACGAGTATCCACACCGATTACGATCCTCCTCCTCTCTTGTCCTTTTTCTATTGGTTGTTGATCGGTAAGTAAAAACGATTTATCTCATACGTTTTCCTCAAACTCCCGTCTCTCTGTCTCTCTCTCTCTCTCTCTCTCTCTCTTTCTCTCTCTTTTTCTCTCTTTCTCTCATTCACTTGCACCATTTCTTTTATTTCTATCGTTTCCTGTTTTTTTTTCTTCGTCTTGTTGGGTTTTTTCATTCATTTCTTTTCTTTTCTTTTCTTCCCTTTAATTAATTAATTATCTCCCTTAACATGTTTATACAACTCTTGCTAACGTTTCTTTCCTATCTCTTTTTTCTTTTTTTTCTTTTTTTTTTTCTTTTTTTTCACTTTCTCTCTTCTTCTTTTATTTATCTTCTCATCTCCCACCTCCCTCTCTTTTTTTTTTTCACCACCTTGTTTTCAATCGTCATCAACTGGTTGGTAATCCACGACGAGATCACTGAAACTTTATTCTTTATTTATTTTATTATTATTATTATTATTATTATTATTATTTATGATCTTTTCTCTCTCTCTCTCTCTCTCTCTCTATCTCCATCTCTTTATCTCTGTCTGTATCTTTTATTTATCCTTTTTTCACTTTTTTTATTCGATACTGCTTCACAATATATCACTGTTTTCATTATATTTTCTTTAATTATTATTATTATTATTATTATTATTATTATTATTATTATTATTATTATTATTATTATTATTATTATTATTATTATTATTATTATTATTATCCGCGATATTGTCGAGAGATTGTAAATATCGTCTTGGGCTGATAAAAATATTGTATTTTGTTGTGTGCGAATAAAAAAAGAAAAAAGATCAATGGGATTTGAGAATAAATTTTGCACGTCGATTTATCGTCTTTATATATTTTTTTTTTTTTTTTTTTTTTTTATATTATCGAGGAAATTTTTTTTTTTCTTTTAATTACTTTTCAAGAGATATACAAAAGAAGAAGAGAATGAAAATGAAAGAAAAAAGAACACTAATACGCACGAATAAACGAATGTTGGATTTCATTATTTTTGAACGAAAATGAAATTCCTTTTGTTTTCTTTATTTTCTTTTTTTTTTTTTTTTTATTTTTATTTTGACTTTTTCTTAATAAACGCGAAATAAGTAAGACGGCCGTGTTTGACTGCGATTAACTCGAATACGGCGCGATTCTACTGTTACATTGGGCGCACCTCGTCGTTCGTTCCCTTTCACCTTCCTGTTTTTCCATCCAACCGAACGCGGAGTCTTATTCTTTGTCCTTTTTCTTTTATATTCTCAGCCAATCTCCTCTCTCTTTCTTTGTTTAATCCACCCCCCCCCTTTCTCTCTCTCTATCTTTCTCTCTTTCTCTTTATCTATCATCTATCTTTTATATCGTTAAATTTTATTTTATCATATACATATGATATTTATTTAATCTCTTTAATTACTTGTTCGTTTATTTCTACTTTTTCTTTTTATTTATCATCCGTAATCTAGAAATATCTAATGTCTGTTGTATGGAGATATAGATATTTAATAATAATATTGTGTATATATATATATATATAAATTAGATATAATAAAATATTACAAATATTAAATATATAGAAAATAATATATTTATGTAGATATATTATACAATGTAGATAAATAGACACACACACACACACACACAGAGACACATATGTATATATTATTGTAACATAAATTTTATTCTTTTCGATTTTTCCTACAATACAATATTTTCCTTTTATTTCCAAGTAACAATTAATTTAACGAATTGAAAAAATAAATTTTTCTCTTTTTACTTGTTCCCTCTCCTCTTTTATCCTTTTATTATTTTTCAATCACAATCAATAATCGTTCGATCTCGTGCATGTATCTTCTCCTTTAGTGCATGCAATCGATTTCAAAGAGGCATGACCAATCACATTTTTTGGTTCATTTTCTTATGTAATTGCTATATATACTTACGTACATATTCACTCTCTCCGCTCGCTCGATCGTTCGATCGTGATCGAAAGATCATGATATTCATATCTTTTCTTCGTTTGAAAATATTCTCAGCAATCATTTTGCTTTATATCATTGTATCCGATTATAATTATACGCAAATTTTCTATGGTTCCAAAAATCTAATAATCAATAATAACAATATTAATAATAATTAATTATTATTATTATTATTATTATTATTATTATTATTATTATTATATTATCATAACAATTATTACTATATATTATATGATCAAATTTTATTAATAATTATTATATGTATATATATATATATATTTATAATAATTATTAGTAATTATCATAATAATCATAATAATAATTATTATAATAATAATAATAATAATAATAATAATAATAATAATTATTGATTGCATTTTTCCTAAGTGAAGTATTTTATTCTTTCAATGATCTTATTCATTCGACATATCTTTATATGTAGAAAAGAAAAACAAAAGGAAAGAAAAAAAAGAGAAAGAAAGAAAAAAAAAGATGAGAAAAGGAAATAAAAAGAAAAAAAAACAGAATGAAATAAGCTCTAAAGCACGTGAATGGAATGAACTTTTGTTAAGGAAGAGGAAAAGAGAAAAAAAAAAGACCGACGTTGTCTTTTCTTTCTTTTTTTCTTTTTTTCTCTCTTTACGCTTCTTTGACATTGATGTTAGTTCACTGTTCTATGAAAGGCCATTAGAAAAGAGCCAAGACACCATATACATACATACTTAACTGCTACAAATGTATACATATATAAGTATCTATTTATATACTTATGTTAGTACATATATAGATAATTGCATACATTGTAATATGTCATTGATAGTTATTTTGTTGACTTATATGCAATCAATATGAGTCAAATTGAATGTTTATATTACCAAAATCATAAGGAATAGGATGAATATAAATCCGTTCTTGATATATAAAATGTATGTTGCTTCCTGCCATTTGGTATTGATCTCTACCAATATGGGAATAAGCAAAATGGTACTCGTCATCCCCAGGGCAGATAGAAGGCCAGTAAGGGGAAGTATTCGTGGAATTGCGATTGCTATGATTGCTGTAAAATCGATAATTGCATTCATGTCTTTGTTTCCTTCTCTCTCTCTCTCTCCCTTTTTTTCTTTTTTTATTTCTTTTATTTCTTAGATCGATTGATTTACGTTTTTTTTTTTTTGTTTTTTTTTTTTGTTTTTTTCTGTTTATTTCTTTTTTTCTCGATTATATTTTATTTTGTGTATGTTTACCACAATTCTTTCTTTTCTTTTCGTTCCACTTAAAAATACCATTTGACTTACTCGTAATCATGATACCAGCCATACGAAAGATGATTTCGTAACGACTATCAACACCGGTAACGTTCATTAGTACCGGCCAGATTATGGTAACAGGTATGATATAATTTATAGGGATTGTAAATAGTATGCTCACTGCAATGCCGATCTTTACGAATTCGGATAATCTGAAAAATTTTGTGATAAATTATATATGAGGATAAAATATATATACATATATATATATATATTATAATATTATAAAATTATATATTTATCTATGCTATAATAATAAAAGAGTAATATATTAAAATATATTATTACTATATTATATTAATAAATATTATTATTATAATAATAATATATTAATAATTTGACAATTAAATATTGTATACCTATATAATATATATATATATATATATGTGTGTGTGTATGTATATTTTATATATAATTCATTAAAATCAGATAAGATAATTTCTTATTTCTATTATATTATTGATCGACAAAATAAAAAATGCACCAGTAGCATATAAGATTATTGACCAACAAAGCAAATATTTGTACAGCCACGTCGAATCTTATCAAAATGTTCTTTGGAAAAGATTTCTTCGTCGTCATTGCAGAGAAAAGATAATCATTTCCAATCGATAGATAACTAATGCCACGTCATTAAATCCACGTGTAATAAAATACAACATATGTATTTTCGATATATAGAATGAAAATTATATCTAATGAATGAGCTTCTTTAGAAGGAGATACATATTAAGAATGCGGTCGAGTTCGTTGATAAGACGATTATTATTGTTCGATTTTGTTTGAAAAATCAATAAAATCGGATGAGCTCGTCCGCGAAATGTCGCAAGGTTTTTGATATAGACAATCTTTCTTAAAAGGAAAATTACGGTATAGATGTACCAATAAGATAAACAAATATGCCCGTGTGCGTTCCAATTCTAACGATCGTATTGTAGAACATAAGCGATCGATATTGTAACGTTTAAAGGAAACAAAAAAAAAAAAAAAAGATAAGAAAGAAAAAAAAAACATAAAAAAATAAAAAGAAAGAATACGACATTTTTCCTTCGTTTAAATGTCTATATATATATATATATATATATAATTATATTCAGTTCGATACTCGCATTATCGAACATTTCTTACGTAAATAAAAATGAAAAGAAAAGAAAATTTGGAATTATTTTCGAAAAATTCATCGACTACGATAAAAACAATGTGACGTTAGATTGAGATGCAATTTTTTTTTGTTTTCTCCCTTTTTTTTCTCTTTTTTTTTTTTTTTTCTTTTCTTCTTCCCTTTTCTTTTTCGTTGTAACATTAGTTTCATATCAGTCGACATCGTTCGAAATCATTTAACGTAAGTTACTCGTAAATTATACTTATGATTTTCTTTTTTAATTTTTATCAGACAATCGCATACATTAATATTTAAGATTTACGTAAGATTTAGGTAAAATTTATGTCAAATTGTTAATTGCACGTTAAAATAAATTTTTTATCTTTTTTTTTTTTTTTCGCTATAACGTCATCTTTCGATATTATTCTAATACATTGCACATATTAAATGAACGATAATCCAATGAAATAATTTAATGAACGATTAACTAAATTGATTTAATTATCGATCGATATTTAATATAATACATTGACGAATTATTCCTTAGATTCATGATTTATTGGAATCATTTTATTCACATATATATATATATATATATATATATATATATATATATATATATACGTCATGAATCTTTAATCGAAACGAATCTATGAATTGCATGCAAAAAAATCATTGAAACTTTTCATTCATAAAAGTTACAAATCATTGACTTACCGCTTTGTAAACACATTTAAAAACCATTTCATTCGTATGAACGAATTCAATCGATCATCGACGAATCAAATTGTTTCAAGTTTATATGAAAAAATAATTCGAACTTTTGTTTTTATTTTTTTTTTTTTTTTTTTTTTTTTTTTTTTTTATTCATGGACTCGATCAAGATAACGGGGACGTGAATCATTTCGAGGATAAATTTTCAAGGATAAAAACCGTCGAAATCATTTTATCGCAAAGTTAATACAGATAATTATAAAGCTCGAATCGTTAGAAAACGTTGCAATCGATTACAATTGAAAATCAATGATGAAAACGATGTCTTCGATCGTAAGAATGCAAGATATTCACGGTTTAACTTTATCTATCTCGTTGTTCTCTTTATCATCGTATATTTGTAATAGTTCGTAGCGATTTCATTTCGTTTTTCTTTTCTTTCTTTATATTTATTTTTTTTTTTTTTTTTTTTTTCATCGCGAATAAATAATTCCACATCGGTATCTGGTCTTGTGTTATCATTCTTATGGCCAATACGCATATATGTATATATATATATATATATATATATATATATTTTTTTTTTCTTTTTTTTTTTTTTTTCTAAGAGTAAAATACACTCACACTTCGTCGAGAGGCAAATTCTTGGTCACAATGTCGCAAGTATCCTTGTACTTGTTATATCCCAAGAAAGCAAAGACGATATATATCAATGTATTGAATAGCGTGGAAATGATTATCAATCTTGTTAGATTATTTGGTTTATGCATCATATTCTCTAATGGTAACAATACCGTGACATTGTGTAAAGTGTAAAAAAATATATTGACAAATATTGTAATCGATTGGATGTTCGTGAAAGGATCGAGACGTTTCGGGCTTGGAAAATCTTCAATGAAATAAATCATGCAAATTATCATGCCGATGATGAAAATGATCGTACCCAACATTGAAAATGGCATCAGATAATTCAAATTTGGTATGAGAATTAGGCAGGAATAAATTGGAAAAAATATTATCACATAGATTCTAACGTCCAATATGGTTTTTGTAATATATTCGATCACCTGCGTAATTAAATTAAAATATTATATCAAGATATTTAATAAGATATATGTATATATATTTATTTATTTAATATTCAATATATATTTATATACTTAATACTAAATATGATATTAGAATTTAAGTTTTGATTGACATCATCGGAGAGAGAGAGAGAGAGAGAGAGAGAGAGAGAGAGAGAGAGAGAAGGAAAAAGAAAAAAAAATACACGTGGAACGAGAGATTACGAACCGGTTGTTGTATATTTAAATAAACGAAAAATGAATTTCTTTTTCTTTTTTTTCGCTCTCATGTATGTTTTTTTCTTTCTTTTTTATTTTTTGTATTTTTTTTTTTTATCTTTTCTTTTACCTACAATACAAATACGAAAGATCGATTGTTATAATTTTCAACGACAGACACCAATAAAAAATATTTATGACAAAATGTTATTTACTAAATTTATGAACGAACAATAACATATAAAATCATATTCTTTAACGAATGTATAAACATCGTATATATACATATATATATATATATATATTATATATATGATATATCGAAGATTTTTATATTAACAAGTAAAGAATTTTTATTAAAAATGAAATCGTGTCGTCGATAGGATTATCCGATCGTTTTGTCTGGCATAAAGAAAAAGAAAAAGAAAAAGAAAAAGAAAAAGAGAAAAAAAGGATACCAATAAAAAAGAAAGGAGGAGAAAAAAAAGGAGAGAATAACAAAAAAAGAAAAAAAAAAAAGAAAAAACATCAAGAAACGAGGCGTCGATCGAAAAAACGTAAATACGAAATAAGACGTTATCAATGCCATTGATGATAATTCCCGTTCAAAGATAATCATGCGATATATATTAAAAGCGTAATATACATTATACATTCTCGTTGAAAATATATTTACATATAGTATTGCAATATTACATTATGTTACGTAATAAGGATAATCGTGAGGTGGACCAAGTTATTGGTATTATCGTCGTAAACTGGAAACGTCATAAAATGAATTTTATATTATACAGAATGAATTACTAAAGTAAAAATTTCTTCGTACCTTTTTTTCCCCCTTTTTTCTTCTCTCTCTCTCTCTCTCTCTCTCTCTCACTGTCTTTTTTTTTTCTTTTATATTTGCGACTATTTATAATCAACGATATATATATATATATATATTTTTTTTTTTTTATACGTATATATGTATATTTCTTTTGTTTTTTCAATCAGTTTCTCCTCGTCAGTATCGTTCGTAAAGAATCATTTTGCATATATGTGTTTACGTACGCCTATATATTATATATATATATATATATATACGCAACTCGCGTGTGCGTCGATGTGTGTAGATATGTGTAAGCGTGTAGGACGATTTATGTGTTACCTGTTTAAAGGAACTGGCTATGTAAAGTATGTATACCACGACTTCTTTATAATGTATGAAGCATGTAACAACGTTCGTGAAGATTCCAAAGGCTTTGCCATACCTACGCGTTCTCTTGGGACCGGTAAGAAATGAGACCTCGACGGTCTCAGCGAAATCCAGCTTTGGCAGACGATGATAACGACAAAGTGCCTGTGCGCATTGCACCTGTGAACGAAATAAAAAAAAGAAAAAAAGCACATACACACACACACATATATATATATATATATGAGATGTTGATTTTAAAAGTGGGACAAACAGATCCATTTGGCGAAGAAAATAGTTGAGGATAATTCTTATTGCAAATTAGCATAAATTTTATTTGTATATATATATATATATATATATATATATATATATATATATATATAAAAGAAAAAAAAATGGACTTGCCTCATTAACGAAATTAACGAATCATATACGGGGGAAAATAAAAAGAAAGAAAGAAGAAAATATATTAAAGATCGGTTTTCACATTTCGAGATACATATAGGTATTAATAACATTATTGTTATTATTATTATTATTATTATTATTATTTCTTTTTTTTTTTCTTTTCTTTTCGTCAAAAATACTTTGGTTCCTTTTATTGTTTATATTTTACGTTTCATCATGAATTTGTTAATAAATAAGAATAAAATGAATGATTCATAGGCATGACTTTTGTTCGTCAATGTCGATTCGATTAAACGCATGGAATTTATAATTTTTCTTTTTTTTTCCTTTCTTCTTTCTTCGTTCCTTGATCAAACGAAAATTCTATTATCGTGTAAATTTATATTGATAATTAAAAAAAAAAATATATATATATATATATATCTATTAATATTAAATTGATATTAATATAAAAAATATTATTTCCTGATATAACAAATAATTCGATAAAAGTCATAGATATTATTATATATTTTTTTTTTTATAGGGGATCGAACAAAAGAAAAAAAAACAAAACAAAAAAAAAAGCAAAAATAAGAAGAAGAGGGGGAAAAAAAGTTCGACAAAATATGAAATTATGAAACGATTAAATTAAGAAAAAGAAAAAAAAAAGAAAAAAAGAAAAGAAAAAGAGAAGAAAAAAATAAAAAGAAAATTATATAAACGTAGGAAAAGATCGAACGAGTTTTATCGATATTCGTTCAACATTCATAACACACAAGCACGTCACGTACCAGAACGATCGAAGTGTGCATATAAATCAAACCAGTAAGGAGACCGCAAATGATGGACATCACGTAGCCAGTTTTACGAAAGGAATTGGGCAGCAAGAGGACACCGCTGGTCACGGCTATTTTCATTATATGAAAGAAAGCATTTAAGTCCCTGAAAATCGTACGTGTAAATTAATAATCTAACATAGTAATCGAAATTATCGTTGGATTCGATTCAATTCATTTCGTAAATGTAACGAAATTAAAACAACAATAATAACAATAACAAAAAAAAAATATATATATATATATAACATTTTTTAAGAAAAATTTATATATATATATATATATGTATGTATATATAAATAAATAAAAGAGAAATAATCCTACGATATTTTTGGTCCGTCTGGTCGATTTAAAAATGGATCATAACTTTGTTCATTATTCGTGATTGATAAATCGATCCTATCGACGTTCTCTCGTGTTTGATGCCTGTCATCGAATAAGAATGCAATAATATGAGAATAAGGATGAAGTAAGAATTGTTGAATCTTCATGTTACATAGAAATACAAGATTAATCTAACATTTTCTCGGCCATCTCGTTTTGAATTCTTTGATAGAAAGACACCGAGGTCTTCAAGATCCGCCTCCGCTTCTGCCTCCTCCCTCCCACCCTCTTAACGCACCAACACTTCTATTTTAACCTTCGAACGATATCCGGAAGTTTTCACGGTAATAGACACTCTTCAATAAAATATATCATCGAGGACGAGATAAGAGCAATGTTCGACTTACGATATGCCATTGATCGTACACGTATTTAATACGCGTCGTACATTATTGATCCCAATTAATCGACCTTTCCTTCTGTTCTATCTTATTTCTTTTTTCTTCCTTGTAATTTTTTTTTTTCTTTTTCTTTTTCTTTTTTTTTCCTCTTAAAGACGTCAATGACGTCTCCTTAAAAATCTATACGAACACGTTCGACGTTCGGATGTGTTCCTTTTTTTTTTTTTTTCTCTTCTTCTTTTCCCTTTGATCGTGCGTGTTCGTTCCTCCCTTTCCTTCGTAACTTATCCTTGGTTTTTTTTTTCTTTTTCCTTTTTCACTTTTCTCTTTTATCTTTTTCTCGTGGGAAAAAAAATGAGGGTTAACGCGATTTAACACATCTTCTTCTTCGTTCAGAATCGTAATCGACGTGCGATTGGATAATTTGTAAACGATGACAACGATTGTGATCGGATCTTTTAGATATATCGTGACAAATGACGAACAATTTTTTGTTCGGTAAAAAGATCGATTAAGAAACGAGATAAGACAGATCGATATGAGAAGAAAAAAAAAGGGAGAATGAAGGAGGGGGGCGAGAGAAGATGAAAAATAAATGAGCATTGGATATTTGACGTATTGAAAGCAACTGTTTTCTTTTTTTCTTTCTTTCTTTCTGCATTATTTGATTGAAAAAATAAAAAGGGAAGAAAAATGAATACGATTAAAGTCAGAAGTCCGACGAAACGAAAGAGAATATTTTTCTGACGAGAGAATTGATTTGATTTGTTTTGTTTTGTTTTGATATCGAGGAAAAGATAAGGGAAGAGGAAAAAGAAAGAAGAAGAAAAACAAAAGGAAAGAAATGGATCGAAGAAAAAATTCTTGTCGACGACAAAAATCCGATAACTGTCAATGACGAGGTAAATTAAAATAAATAAAAAAAAATTACGGTTTTTCGCTTTAAGAAAAAAATAAAATAAAATAAAATAAAATAAAATAAAATAAAATAAAAAATAAGAAAGATAAGAAAAAACAGTTGAGAGGATATATTATCAAAAAAAAGATATTAAACGTGCAAATGAATTGGTTTAAACGAACGAAAAAAAACAAAAAAAAAAAAAAAAGAAATAATAACAATAATAATAAATCTCTTACGTTTACGATCGTGTCGAACACGAACGAGATAGTAATCTCATTGTCCCCTTGATTCTTTGAAAAGATAAAAAGAATTGAAGAAATATAAAAAGAAAAATAAAAAAAAAAAAAAAAAAAAAAATAAAAAAAAAATAAAAAAATAACAAAAAAAAAAGAATAAAAGAAACAAAAAAGAAAAAAAATTCATTCGCGATTGCCAAACGCGAAATTCGATATTTCGTAAAGTGCGATCGGGTGGATAAAAAAAAAGAAAAAAAAAAAAAGAAAATAGATAAATAAATAGATAAGTCAATGAAGGAAGAAAGAGAAGAGAAAAAGAAAAGGAGAAAAAAAAAGTGAAAGAAAAGAGAAAACGATTTCCAACGCGTGAAATTATTTCTCTTTAATCCAACCCTTACCCCTTACTCCGCCATCTTTCTCTCCGACATTTTTAATTAAAAAATTCGCAGGCAACAAAGGGATTCTTAACGGAATTAATCAAACGGTATTAACGCATGCTGCTTTAACAATAAAACAATTAACTTCGGAACAATGAAGAGAAATAACTAACGTGAAAAAAATAATTTAAGAAATGATAAAAAAGAAATAAAAAAGAGCGAGATGGAGATTAACAAAAAAAAAAAAAGAAAAAGAAAAAAAAAAAAGAACAAGTGAGAACTCCTATCTTTCTCTCTCTCACTCTCTCTCTCTCTCACTCTCTCTTTCTTTCTCTCTCGATAAATCTTGCGATTTCTTGCGTAAAAGACATTCTTCTTCTCTGACGTCAATTATTCCTGGGATCGTCTCGCTAATCTAAAAATTAAAAATTAATTCTCTAAAAGGGATTCTCCTTTCCTTTCTTCTTCTTCTTCTTTTTTTTTTCTTTTCTTTTCTTTTCTTTTAATCTATGTAACGCGATTATTACGTGTGATTATCAACGTCGATGACGCATACAGATATTCACATTAGCAGGATATACATAGATACATACATACAAGGGTATGTGCAGGATGTTGACGTATTTTTTCAATTTTGTCTTTTTTTCTGGTTTTTTTTTTCTTTTTTTTTCTTTTTTTTTTTTTACATAATTCGCCACTTTTATTATTAATCGCATCACATTATCGCACGATTGCGCTACATACATATGTTTGTATATATATATATGTGTGTGTGTGTGTGTGTGTATAAGTATGGAAGTGTGTGCGTGTGTGTTTTTGTTTATTATTTACATTAAAATCATTTTTAAATAATGTTTACGATGCCGCATATTTACAATTGTCTACTTGTCCGTGTTTTGTTTGCCGAAGGTGTATTTGTGTGTGTATGTGTATATATATATATATAGGTATGTATATATATATATATACATTTATGTGTATATCGCATTGATAAAAAAGAAATAATTATTAATATTATTATACCTACAACGGACAAGATAGGTCTTAAATGATTTATAATACAATATGATCGTTATTATAATCATCGATAAGTGAAAAGTCCAAGGAAATAAAGATATGTATACATATATATATATATATATATATATATATATATATATATATATATAAATGAATAATAAAAAAAGAAAAAGACAAAATATCGCTGCAGTCTGTTCAAGATCTTTTGTTTTATGTGTTATTATTATTACTCATCTTCGTATTCTTTTTCTTCTTCTTCATCTTCTTCATCTTCTTCATCTTCTTCATCTTCTTCATCTTCTTTTTATTTTCCGTCGCTTATTTTCGCTCTAAAGGCGATTATAGTCGTATTTCGAAAAAACGTATAAAAATAATAGCCTCCAATCGGCAGCGCGAACGCTGTGTTGTATACGTATATGCACGTTGTGTATGTATCTACGTGGTGTATCTTTTTTTCTTTTTTTTTTCTTTTTTCTTTTTTTTTCTTTTTATATATATATATATATATCATATTTAATTTTCTTCAACCTTTCTTTCTTTTTTTCCTTTATCTCTTCCATTATTTATTCATATATTTATTTAATTGTGGGCACCAAGAGTACGCGTTTGTTATTTAAATTCTTTAAATATTGATTAATAAAATTAATCAATCGATCCTCTCATCTATTTTCTCGTAGCAAAATGAATTTTTGGAAGTAAACGTAGTTACTTCCATTTATTTTTATCGTATATATCGTTTATGTAAAAAAAAAGACATATTATGCACTAAAATAATTCTAATGATAATAATAATAATAATTCTAATGATAATAATAATAATAATAATAATAATAATAATTCTAATAATAATAATAATTCTAATAATAATAATAATAAGTAATAAGTCCGTCAGTCCTATGAGTTTTGCTAAGGTTAATCACAAAATTTCCTTTTTGTTTATTACTTATGCTTTTTTTTCTCTTTCCTTTCTTTTTTTTTTAAATCTTTTCATTTATCCTCATCCCTACATTTATTTTCCTATATATATATATATATATATTTATGAATATATATATATGAATATATCTCTTGATCGTTAGGATATAAAAATTGGAAAGCTCTCTTCGACTATAACTCGGAATTCGAAGCTTTTTACTATAATGATCGTCCTTTACGTTATATATATAAATAATAAAATTGGTTGAAGCAAGGAACTGTAAGTTTTAGAGTCAATATATATATATATATATATCTCATTACATACTCGACGAGATGCGACACACGACGAGGTATTTTATATAAGGCGTGTCTCATTTATTATTAGAAGGAAGAAAGAAAAAAAGCACAAATCATCAACGTACTTTATTTCTTTCTAATCGCCTAATCACGCTTACTATATATATATATATGTAGTAATATATATACATATATAGTAATATATATAGTAATATATATATATAGTAATATATATATATATATATATATATATGTCATGATGACAAAATATATATATATATATATATGTATATGTATATATAACTTAGGTATTATATACTTATATGTATATCGTATCATACAAGGAGAGAATGAAAAAGAGGCTCTCCGATCGAACCGAAAAAAAAAAAAAAAAAAGAAAAAGAAAAAAGGAGAAATGATCGAAACGCAATGTCTTGATGACATAAAAACGTCATTGATATGTGTCGTTTCTGGACAAGAAAAAAAAAAAAATAGACGAAAGTAGAATGAAAATAAGAAAGAACTCTTAAAATAAAAAAGAAAAAATGGAAATGAAAAGAAAAATTGTAAATAATGAAAAATGTCACTTGTTTCTTCTTAAAACAAAATTCACAAACAATTCGTATCTTAACATACGTTCTAATCGTCATCTCTCGTATGCTATTAGAATTCGAAGGAAGTGAAATAGAAAAGAAAAGAAAGAAAAAGAAAAAAAAAAAAAAGAAAAAAGAAAAAAGAAAAAAAAAAAAGAAAAGAAAATAACAGAAA